AATAAAATAATTGTAAAAAAAGAAACTATCAGCAAAATGAAAAATGACCAATGGTATGGGAAAAATATTTGCCAATGATACATCAGATAAGGATTTAATCTCCAAAATATAAAAAGAACTCATATGACTCAACACCAGCAGGACAAACAATCCAATTAAAAAAATGGGCAAAGGACTTGAACACACACTTCTCCAAGAAGGACATAAAGAGGGCCCAGAGCATATGAAGGATGCTAAGCATCACTAGCCATGAGACAGATGCAAATTAAAACCACAATGAGATACCACCTAATACCTGCCAAAATGGCCATTATTAGTTAATCAACAAACAAGTGTTGGTGAGGGTGTGGAAAAGGGAAGCCTAGTGCACTGTTGGTGGGGATGCAGACTGGTGCAACCACTCTGAAAAACCGTATGGAGTTTTCTTACAAAATTAAAAAAAGAACTGTCTTTTGACTCAGCAGTCCCACTGCTGGGAATATACCCTAAGAATCCCCAAACTCCAATTCAAAACAATTGATGTACCATATTCACAGCAGCATTATGTACAATAGCCAAAATTTGGAAACAACCTAAGTGCCAATCCATAGATGAGTACGTAAAAAGCTGTGATTCATTTACGTGATGGAGTACTATGCAGCAGTAAAAAAAAAAAAAAGAAGAAGGAATTCTTATCTTTTGCAACAGCAAGAATGGAATTGGAGACTATTACATTAATTGAAGTAAGCTGGTCAATGAAAGACAAATACCATATGATCTCACTTATAAGTGGAATCTAATGCACAAAATAAACTAAAGAACAAAATGGAATCAGAGGCACAGAAGCAAGGAACACACTGATAATTGTGAGAGGGAAGGGAGAAGGGTAGAACTGGTTGAAAGAAGATGAAGGGATTAGACAAAGAATATATGTACATCATCCATGGACATGAACAACAGTGTGGGGATTGACTTTGGGAAGGGGAAGGATGGGGGTAGTGAGGAAAAGGGGAAAACTGGTACAATAGTAATAGCATATATAATACAAAAAACTTGTAAAAATTAATGAAATTATATGCTTCCTATTATAAACCAAAAATAATTAGAAATCACTTGATTAGAACATAAAATCAGGCAAGGGGCAGTTTGTATCTTTGGCACATAACCTGGCAATAGGCAGTCATTAAGGAATTAAGCTATCCATATATTCCCACCTACCCTTAAGAATAATTCCCTAACTCTTTTTTTTGTTAAAATTGAGAATTAGAAATTCAAAATTTTCAGCAACTGAAAAAATAACCTTCCATATTGCCAATTGCTGTTATGACTCAAACTGCATCACAATTCTATCTGCCTCTTCCATCTGCCCTGACATATGAACAGTGATACAACTTGACAGGCTCATAGATGGAGAACAGATGACAGCTAGTGGGGGAAGGAGGTTAGGGGTAGGAGGGATTGAGCAAAAAGGAAAAAGGACTCGTGGACATGGACAACAGTGTGGCAAATGCTGGGGGAGGGAGTATAAGGGGACTAAGTGGTAATGGAAAAAGAAGCATAATATAGATTAAATTAAAGAAAAAAGAAAGATTATGTTTAGGTCAACATCTTATTTGGAAAGAAAAACATGAGTAACCAAAGTTCTTGCCTGTGTCAGTGTGGTGTTTAAGATGCTGTATTGCAGCCTTGGCTGGTGTGGCTCAGTGGTTTGAGTGCTGGCCTGCAAACCAAAGGATCGCTTGTTGGATTCCCAGTCAGGGCACATGCCTGGACTGCAGGCCAGGTCCCCAGTAACCCTGTACAGGGCAAGCAAGAGGCAACCACACATTGCTGCTTCTCTCCTTCCCTTCCTCTCTGTCTAAAAATAAATAAATAAAATTTTAAAAAAGAAAGATGTTATATTGCAGTGTTAGATTAAGTCAATGTATACAGAGAAATCACTCACACAGGTTGACCTTCAAATGCCATTAACACTCCCTTCTTTCATCTCAATTATGCTACGTTCAAATTGCAATGCAACAGATTGCAGGAGACTAGAAGTTTTATCCTTGAAAGTCCCAGTATAGCAATAATTCACCTTAAAGTGGTTAGAATTTTAGATTGTGTTGTTCATATTTGGCTATTAAAAAGGCACCTTATAAACTCAAAATAGGTGCTTTAAAAAAGTGTTTGTTGTCACCATTTTTCTCTATCAGGTCGTATATAGATTGCTGATTATAAATGCTATTCAGAGGCTGAAAGGGAAGTTCTCTTAATGAATTAACTTTACAAAAACACTGACTCTGTATAGCATATTATAAAGGTAGTAGCTTTAAATGCATTTATCTTATTTGATCACCACAGCAACATTGTGAGACAACCAGGGTGAATATGATTATGTTTGATAGACATGGAATCAGAGCCATGGGTAATGCTGCCAACTGTGTTTTCCTCATTCATGCCAATGGTGTGCACTAAAAATTCAATTTCTGGGTAAATGCAGTACATTTCACTAATCTTTTGTACTTATTTTAAATTGACAATGTGATACACTTTTTTTTTAATTTAGCTTTCTATTCTTTTTTGAGTAGAAACCAAATGCTGATGTGATTAGTCCAGTCCTTTTTTCTTCAACATTATCATCAGAGAAAACTTACAAGCATTTCATTCTTTTAGTTATTAGCCTACATTTCATTGAGTAGTTTACTGAATGGATACAGTGTTCATATATCTTTTTACCTTAAAGATGTTTTTCCTCTGATTACTAAAATTGAAATTAAATTAGCCATTCATCTTAGCATGTGCAGTGACACAAATTCATCATTAAGTATATATTCAATTATTACACACACACAAGAATATATTGAAGCATTTAAACTCTTAAAGACTTGCAAATATGATAATTTATGAATACTGGCACTGCAAATTCTACTGTGCAAATCCTATGCGAAACTCACAGAAATCAACTGATGACTGTGATAGTACCAACATGTACTCTAGGTATTTCTTCTAATTTTATTTTATTTATTTATTTTTTAAAGAGAAGGGGAGGGAGGAAGACAAACATTGATGTTAGAAACTCTGGTGGTCCCTCATGTGTGTTCTAATCCATTGCCTCTCTCATGCCCACAAATGGGGACCTGGCTTGCAACGCAGCATGTGCCCTGACTGGGAATCCAACTGGCAGCCTTTCAGTCTGCAGAACAATGCCCAACCCACTAAGCCACAGCAATCAGGGCTAACCTAGGTATTTCTTTATCAGAATAAAGAACGTGCATGTGCGGTAATACATGAGGATATATTCTCATATTTTCAAAACTGTTTTGACATTGATTAATCTGAAATATCTGAACATTAATTAGTAGAGTTTTTTAAAAAATAATTTTGAGAGATAATTTTAATATAATTATGCACACCATTAATTTGTAAACTAATATTCTAGGAAAATAATTTTATTATGAAAATTATACTGTGTGATCCATGCAGCAACTGTCTGCTTCTCTCATGAAAATATAATTACTTATCATTGGAGTTAATTTATTGTGAGGAAAAAAATCTTTCATACCTAAGGAATTCTAGTGTAATAGGTTAAGTTTATATGTTTTTTTTTTTCACTACCAAAAGTTAGTCTAAATTTGAAAATTTTATCTCTTTTAATGATTGGAAGCCTTTCTTATACTCACCTCATGTATTTATTGTCTAACCAAGTAACTGAATATCTTCCTTAAAAAGCAGCATTTGAAAATTTATAATTCTAATATCTATTAAATATATTATTTATTTTTCTTAACATTTTATAATTTTTTTTGTAAAAACAACTAATTGGGATGATTAAAGAAAGTGTGGCTCTTTCCATGCACTGGGAAACATTTTATTAACACTCATGGACATGTGCATGCATGTATTAACATTCTGCTTTGATTCTGAATATATGGAACCCATGAAAATGACTCCCTCATTGTGGTTATTTATTCACCTGCTCTGGTTCATGCTAGTAATACATATGTATTTTATGTAAACTTCCTTCACATCTTCCATAAGTTAATATTTGGTTTAGTTTCTAATTTATAAGAAGGAAGCTGCAAAACCATAGTTTCCATTATTTAACAGATCAATAATAAAAGTGAGACCTTTGTTATTAATTAAACAGAGTATTTTTATATATTAATTTATAATCCATTACAAATAAATATTCTCTCTGTTGGAAACAAAGCATTTGTCTTTCTCTTTCAAATATATCCAAAATCCAAGCACATTCATGTTTTATTTTATTATTCATCAGCCATTAGACTTTTTAATAAGTAACAAATTTCCAAGTAAAATCATTAAAACCTTTGGGTAACATTGTCTTTTTAAAATAAGTGAAGATTTATAGAGGTGATATTATAAACATATTTTTGCTTTTTTCCCTCATATTAGTAGCTATACAATTTATTTGTTACACATAATGAGGTAATTTATACATTATTAAAATACACATTATAGAATATGTTTTTGATTGGCCAGGAACAATATGAAAATGTCATATTAAATACACAAACATAAATATTGATTCATTATGGAAGCATATTTAAGAAATTAATTAATAGTAAAATCATATATAAACATATCCAAGTGAGTGGTCTTTGAAGTTATTTTGATTTCATTTTAGCATTCATGTGGGTTCCTATTTTGCATTTTTTATTGTTTCTTCCTTAAACCTGCTATTATTCTGTAAAAAATATTATCAATGTATTAACAATTAATGAATATATAACAAAAATATTATCAATTGAATATTAACCTCTCTTAGTAAATGGACATAAAGAGTTACAAAAGCCACATAATCTTTTGATTCCTTGACTTTCCATGTGGCTGTGTTTCTTTAATAATTATATTCTTATACTTCTTGTACCTTACAGGTCTAATGAAAATGAAGGGTCATGTGTTTTGAATATGTTGATATTTTTATATTAGCACCAACAACAGACATTATTAACTTTAAAAAGGCAAATGGAATTCATTTCTCTCAACACTGTTTGTGTGTTTGTGTTTTCTTTTAGTCAATCTGCTGGATTCAAAAACAATTCAAGGGGAGCTGGGCTGGATCTCTAACCCATCACATGGGGTAAGTTCAATAAATATTGAAAAGGAACATGATTCTCTCCATTACCTCTCTCAAAGAGCAGAAGGAATTATTTGTATGTTCTCAAAGGCAAACTCCTGGACTTCAGGTGAAACATTTATGCATTTTAATATATGAACAAACAGAGCCTAATATTTGTGTCCAGTGAAACTGCTGATAATTTTTAAAGTTTTTTTCCTTCTGAATTTATAAATTGCTTAAAATTAAGTTTAACACTAGCATCATGGAGATGATCTAGGTGTGACCATCTCATATGTTGTGTGATGTGAGCAGAATAAGTGGATTCAGAAGACATTCTAAGATTTAAATAACGTTGAAAGTGTACCTTAGCAGTTGGTAGTCTCCAGAGTCGTAGCCTTAAAAATAAACCCAGTGACTGGTCCAAGTAGTGCAGGATGCATTTGTCAACACCACAGACCCATGTCACCTTAATTTCTTTGTTAAAAATAATTTCCAAATTGTCTAGATCAGTTTAAAACTGGGTATTTTATTTAGAAAAAATATGAATGCCTTTATCTTTCAAGCTTATAACATGTCTTTACCTGCAAGACACAGATTACTAAGGTGTGTGACATTTTCATAGCCTGAATATTTATAATAAGCTTTTTATGTGAGAATTTTTTTGTTTTACTTTGTTTTTCAGAAAAAAAGAAGGGCATATATTTGGAAAATTTTTATTCCTAAGAATGTGTAATAAATGCCTATACATGTCCTTTTTGTTATCAAGTATAGCCTGTGGAAAATGCCAAGTGTTTCTTTGAAATATTTGTGATAGGAATCAATGTATATATTCCATTTTTTTGTACACTGGTCCTCTTTTCCAAGAGGTTAGAGTTACTTCCACTTAGTATTGGAGATTAGTCTTTAGACTTTTGTGCCTAAACATACTAATGTTTATGGTACCATCAACTTTTTCACCAACGGATGTTTTACATCAAGGATACTTCATCTATCTGTCATCTTTGTGTCTGCTTCTCTTCCTGGTACACCTTGACATTGACACAATGCCAAAACCTATCACATAATCAGACCATGGTTAGTTGCTTCAGAAGGGAAAGGATGAAATAAGCGAGGATTTTGTTTTCCCATAGGTGTAAAAGGATTCAGATGATAAGGATAAAAGCACATTCTGAGTAGTCATAAAGAGTGAATCAAAACTCACGATTGAGCTGGAAAACACATTTCAAACTAATCATCTGAAAGTCAAACCTAAATTTAATTTTGATTTTGTAAATTTGAGTTTTTTATTTATCTTTCAGATAGTATACCATAGAACCTGCTGCTTAATGGTATACAAAACGCAAAAACCAGTGTCATTTAGTAACATATTTATATGTATATTTTTAAAAACAATAAGAAATTCACTTGTATATCAAAATAACAAACAATCTACCTCATTTTGTATAAAGAAAACAAAAATCATTTCTATATTATGTCAATTTGGCAAAATATATTCATTTTATTTTGTTAATCTCATAGATTTTGTGATGAAACAAAGATGGTACTTCTACCTCCAGAGATATATTGAGGGAGGGGTTGTTCCAGAATCTTGCCACACAAAGTGTGGTGCATGCATCATCCAGTGACATCAACATCTGGGAGATTCTCATAAATGAAACTCTCAGGTTTCACCTCAGGCTTTCCGAGTCAGAATCTACTCTTTAACATGGTCCTTAGATGATTCCTGAACACATTAAATGTAAGAAACACTTCTCAGAATAATTTACCTCTTGACTTTTTCCATCTCTCATCCAATTTCTTACCTTCTTTCTGCCTAGGAATCATTCTCACTTTCTCCTTTGGCCTCGAAGAGCAGATATCAGGCTCCTCATTGCCTTCCTGGCTGATCTTGCAGCTGTGTCTTTCTTCTTTCTGATGCAATAAATAGCCTAAAACAGCTGGCCAAACTCTAAAAGCTTATCATTAAAACTTGCAGGGAAGAAAATCAAAAATCTCCTCAACAGGTCTGATGTCTGATATTTATAGTACCTCAAATCCCAAAGCTAAATAAAAGGAAAAAAAAAAAAGAAAATCAAATATATGAATTGTTCTTCTGTGGTGATGTATAGTATATTTTTTCTTTAAAGTTTCTTTCTATATTATGTTAACCACAGTGTACATGAGGAAATAAGTTATGTTAATTTAGAAAATGTTAGATGAATATTCATTTCTTGTTGAGAAATTGATGACTTTTTTATTGTTGCTCTATTACCAATTGTCCCTGTTTTTCCCCGTTGGTCTCCCATGTCCCGCCCACTCTCCCCCCACAGTCAACCCCCACCCTCTTGTCCATGTCCCTGGGTCCCTTATACCTGCTCTTTGACTAGACACTTGAGTGAAAGCTTTGCATAGCCAACTTAGGTTTGGTATTGAATATCTTTGTTTGTACAATTTTGGCTTTTAGATTCAGTTAATTATTTTAATGCTTAATTGTTGCCATTTTCAATATGACAAAGACAGACAAAATTTGTGGGTTTTTTCTGTTTTTAAAAGAGATAGTTCAAACAATATGATATGTTTATTGCAGCTTTTCCATTAAAAAATGACATGTAATAGCTGGAAACCACTTTGAACTTTTTATTCTTTTAATAAGGAACCCTAATGCATACCAGTGCATCTATTTTTAGGTTAATAAAGTATGAATGTAAATGCTAGAAGAAAAATTATAACAATGTCACACCATATGGAATCACTGAAATCTGTTTTTTCTTGTTCATCTTAGAACTGAAAGTCTGTACCCTTTTACCAACTCCCTATTTCCCCCTACCCTGCTTAGCCCCTGGCACTCACATTTCTACTCTGTTTCTATAAGTTTGACTTTTTTTTTTTAGATTCTAGTATAAATGATACCAATGAGTATTTGTCTTTCTCTATCTGGCTTATTTCACTTAGCACAGTGCCCTAGTCCATCTGTGTTGTCACAAATGACAGGGGAAAATCCTGTTTTTTTGATTTTGGGTAATGGTTCTCAATGTGATGAGAGGTAAAGAGAGGTGGCTGAGAATTTGCCCTGTGGGGAGATTTGTCAGTGTCTGTAAACGTTACTGGTTGTCACAGCTGGGGAGGCAGGGCACCACTGGCAACTCGTATGGAAGGCCAGGGATGCTGTAAACATCTTGCCATGTAAAGGGCAGCTTCCCACAACAAAGAATAATGGGGGTGAATAATATTGGTGCTCCATTAGAACCTGTGGTCACTGAAAAGATCCTGGGACACTAAAAAAGATACTGGATCACTAAAAAGATCCTGTGGGTCACTAAAAAGATCCATACCCCCACCAGAATTCTAATTCCAAATCTGTTGAAATATTTTTAAAAAGTAGAGAAATGATTTATTCTAAAAATAAATCTTTTATGGAATGATAATATCACCTCAGGTATATACAATTCATTAATATATTTAGGGATAAATGGCCAAGGGTGGCTCTGTCCTGTATGTATTTTTTCTATTTTTATTCTCTTCTTTCCCCAGAGATATATTCATGCATAAAATCATAAAATTAACCTATATAATTTCTTGGGAAGAGTATTTTTCATCTCTATTTTAAAATGGTGCTTTGAAACTTAGTGGAGACTTGGTAGGAAAATATGGTACTATATACTATTAGGCCTGGGACAAATTTTCAAATAAGTATCTAGGAGGAAATTTAATGAAACTTTGTTTTGTTTTGTTTTTCCTAAATGATTACAATGAAAATAGTACTCAAATTTGTAAACTGAAATTATCAGCCATTCATAAACAATTCATTTTTCAATAATAAAGGTTTTATTTAACATGAATATTTTATACCACTGAGTTTGTTCATTTTAGTAGAGTAGAAACAACAATTACCTTTTCTGGCCTTATAAATTGTGAATTACAGTACTTAAATTCTGGACTCATTGTATTAAGCAATTTCAGTAAATAATTCAGTAGTTTATATATTCTTTGGTTTAGAGGACAGATCGCACATATAAAAGTCCTTATGTATTGTAGATTTACAACCTAGAAAAATCTTTTGTTTATATATAACTAGGTACTTAAATAGATTTATTTACTTATTGATAATATCTATCTTACAAAGAACTTTCTTAGTCTAGGTACTACAAAGGAGGGATCAGAAGGTAGCACAGCTGCATAGTTTTACCTTAAGATACTATAGCATTGACATGCTGATTAAATTGAACAGAAAAATCATGAGCCTTGACTCAATTAAAGAAACTCTCATAAGGAGAAGAAAATGAGGAGATGATTTGGGGAGTGTAAAAAAGGCACAGTCTACAAGGAGTTACTCATGTATATTTGTTGATCATAGAAGTCTCAAAATGATCAATTGTGGGATTATTTTATTTTCTACCTTCCTTCTTTTTAAATGTCTATCTTTTAGAATTCTTTTTACTCTAAAGTTTTCCTTAGTTTGGCAAATAGAGGCCCTTTAGTTTGCCTACCCAATGTTTGTTCTCTGGTGTTTCCTTGGGGATGGAACACCAACGTTATTCTGGTTTTTACACTGTCATGAGCTCGGATCATTCTGTGGGGTGAATGTTGATGCACTGAGAGCTCATCGTCATAAGTACAGTCATTTTACCAGAGTTTGGGTTAGGCAAGAGTAGACTGGAGGAGATTTGCAGTGACTCTAGAAAAGGTTTCCTCTGGATAAGAAGAGGTGGGGAAAGGCTGAGTACCTCATGGCTCTGGGCTTGCCCTGGGGAGGCCCAGTACCTGGGCCTACTGTACTCTCTTCATGGCCAGAAGAGTGGAGTCTAGTAGGCATTAGAGAAACCAGCGAGGGACACTGATGTCTCAGAACCACTGAGTTAAGTTAAAAAAAAAAAACATCCTTATTTATGCCACACTTTGTGTATCTCTTACATTTTGAATTTGAAGACATCCAGATAGAATACATATTTTATCACTTGGTCAAGTATCTTCATTTCTAAATGGAAGCTATAGCAATGCATAGTTCTATTCTACAATGTTATTTGCATTTTTGCAGGTTATCT